CTCTCCAGCTAGTTGAGAGCTTTAAAAAATAAACTTTTTTAAAGTATGTACAAAATATGTTGGTCAGGTCTTTTCAGAAAGGATGAGCCGTAAATGCTTCAGCGAACGCCCAACTTGCTATGCATGAATTAACAAATCAGAATGACTCAAGTGAATAAAAATTACATATTTTCCCTACTAGAGAATATGTAATGATAATGTTTATGAATCGAATTAGACTTACTTCACGTGTAACACTGAAATTTACTTAGTAGCTGTAGATAATGTCTAAAAATAAATTTGTAGGAGAACAGGTTTGTTTTTGTTTCATTTTTCCGATAAAATATCTGAATTTTAACTAACAGAAGTAACGTGTTTATGGATTTCGTTCACTTAATTTATCGTCAGAAAAGCACTTTAAATAAGAAAATCTGTGTCCTATTATTCTTTAATCATACTAGTGGGTAACCGGAAGGATCATCCTCATTATTATTCAACTTTAGGACAATTTCATATAGTTTCACTCCGTGTGGTGCTTCCAGGAAAGAAAATAACCGTATTTGTTTCTGATTCATACTTGATGAGCTGTCGAAAAACGATAATTACAAAAATAGGCAAAATCTTGGGAATGTTTACACGTCTAAGATTTGTTTCCTTCTTGAAACGAATGCAGTAGTACAAATCCACCGAATCTTTTGGTTTTGTACAGCTCATTTCATTTCATCTGTTTATTTTTGGTTTCATGTGATCTCATTTACTCTTTCAGTACGGATGAATAATGAGATCATTTGAAACAATTAGTCCCTTTAATAAATTTCGATAATGCTATTAGAAGACGAAGATTATCTGAAAAATGTGATATATTTGCGCAATATATTTCGAACAATCCGATCACATAGTCACTTGTCTCAAGTCAATTTATATATGAAAAGGTTGTGACACTAGTCTTGGTAATATAATCAGATAAGGATTACCAAGGTAAATTAAGTGAAACAACAGATTGTTTTTGCACACACAGCGGGGCTTAAGTTCACGAATGGCTAACTCTTCGGCCAACTTCAGTATGCGCCCCTGATTATTCCTGTATAATATCTTAAAGGCTGTTTTCATATTTACCCTGTGATTCATTTCAATAATATGTTTTGCTGTAGATGATGATGAATGTCTGTCACCTGCACTTATCAAGTAAATGTGTGATCAGATTGTTCGAAATGTATTGCCCAAATACATCACATTTTTCAGATAGTCTTCGTCCTCTAATAGCGTTATCGAAATGAGATCATTTGCTGGTTGATGTTTAAGAGGTTGGTACAAAAGATATAATTTTGATAAATACAGACATTCTCTTCAAAACTATGTACCAGCAGTTGGTTGAGTTGAATTTTAATTCTTAGCACTGGAATATGGATGAATTTGCATTCAAAGTGTATAGATATACTTTTTAGTGGTTGATTTGAACAAAACTATTAGTTGTAGTAGTCTCTATGGAAATATATTTTCTTGAGAATACAACAGAAAATAAAGTGACCGATATTCAGTTTTATTTTCATGCGGTCACTTGTTCATGGTTTGGTGGAAGAATAAGTCTAGATGACCAGCGAGGATTATCGACTGACATACCACTAGGTGTTAATATCCGCATTCGTTTGTATAGTTACCATACGGAGGTTTTCAAAAACTGGATGGTGCACAACTTCAAGCTGATGAGATTTTTCCCCGTTCATTTTTACATGAAGAAAACTATGGCCTTAAACTGCGGAAGCAATTAGAAAGTTAAAGCAATATCGCACTGGGTCTGCATGATTACTAATTAACTGCTACTGTTTCGTTGCTGCCAAAGGTTCTTGACAACTTTTGAATGATTGAACTAATAGCTAGAGCCATTCAGAAAGTGCACAACTATCAGTGCTGATAATCTATTCGGAGAAACTTTACATTGTATTTCATACTACGAGTATCTTTATACTGAAGGGCAGGTAGCATTTTTTATGAATAATACATAAAGCTATCTTCACCAATTTGAGCTATTCAAGTTCATGAGAAAAGAAGCCCTTATCAAAGTGTTACTACTAGTGGATTTCTCTTATTCGGTCTATTGATGAGTAATGTGTAGGTAGTCAGGGGTTATCTTTACTGCCTATAACTGGTATAAGTGTTGCCGATGAACCATTTTAACAGCAGGTCATCGATAATACGGCCTTTTCATCGATCTGACAAATTATCTACAGTGTATTCAAAGTGGCAGAAACTTTATCATGACGTCCCATTCAAAGACAGTTACTGCTAACACTGACCGTTTCGACCTACTTTTCCAATCTTTTTCAATTCATTTCAGTAATAAGAATCACCACCAGCAGCCACAGAATTACAAGTGAACACAAGTCCTTTCCAAACGCCACAAAACTACTGAAAACCAGTAAAGCAGCAGGAACAGAGAGAATTCCTCCAGAAACACTGAAAATAGACGCAGAGACAACAGTGGACATGCTCACTCCAATACTACAGAACGTTTGCAAGGAAGGAAGGAAAAGTACCTGCCTGTAGATTGGAAGAAGGACTAACATGTCAAACTCCCAAACAAGGGTGATCAAAGTCCTTGCAAGAACTGGCGCACAATCGTGCTCCTCTCCCTGTCCACTCCAAGCAAAATATTAACACGTATCATTATGGAGACGCTAACAATGCTATGCATTCCAAATCACAACTGAAACAGACCGGCTGACAGGCTTCAGAATCATGTGCGGATCAGATTGCAACGTCACGCTACATATCACCATTGAACAGAGCATAGAATGGCAGTCAGCCCAACTCAAGTCAACCTCAACTTCATCGATTTTGAAAAAGCCTTCGATAGCGTCGACCAGAAAATAATTTGTTAGCTGCTGCTTCAACACTACGCTTTAAATGCAACAAATCTTTATCAACCTCATTCAACAGCTATCTGCTATAATTATGATGCTACATACCAAGTGATTTACAATGGAAAGCTGAGTGATGCCTTTGAAGTGAAGACAGTGAAGACAAATAGTAGTGATAAAAGGAATCACTTACTGTGTCCGGTATGTTCCTATGTTAACTTTATGTGGCAATCTACCTTAGATTAAAAATAATATGATTAAAAGAATGGTTATTACTTCGCCTAAAATTATTAATTTCAAGCACTATTTGAACCGAATAATAATTCCCAGCATCAGCCACGCCATATAAAGCGTACATGGAATAAGCCAGATACCGCCGGTGATATAAATTACATTTTGTCCAACTAATTTTTAAAGTTTCGAAAAGAACCTTAGGCTTTAAATAGTTTTTTTCATATTTACCTTTTATCAACTTAGTATTCGTGCAAAAGACTAGCATTAGTTGAATGATTCGGTAATGATGCTGTCTAAAAGATCTATCTTTACGATAATAAATATGGTTGTGAAATGCAACCATGGCTTCTGTGAATGCGAACGTGATAGTGAATATAAATATATCTGTAGTTGCGAACTGCGGATAAACTTAATCATTGCAGAGGAGTTTGACGTTAGGATAAATCCAGTTGGTGGTATTTTAATCTTCTTCAGTTGATGCAGCATTACATGATTTTGAGTAACTAAGTATACATTTGAAATTTATTATTTTGCCCATGGAGTTATATGTAATTCGGTTTTGGCAATTATCAGGTAGAAATCAGCGTTGTGGAATCCTCTGCTAGCTTCAGTAAACTAAATTGTCATAATCGTCAGGAAACTTGGTGCAAGGCATACCCGTAGCTTTCAGAGAACTGATAACCATCCAAATATTGGAACGCGTATCACCCACATCCTATCCTTGCATATACATGGTAAACAAATGGTGACTCAGTGAACATCTTCAAGTTGTCAATGATTTGGAAAATATATTAACCTGACCTTATAACAAACATCTTTAGAGGGAAACTAATTTTTACTGGTCTTTTTAAGTTCATATATGCAGGGAATATTTTTCAAAAATATGTAAAGGTTCTAATCAGTACTCTTTCCGTACAGTAACCGTACTTAGAATATGACATTATTATCAAAATAATAAAAAACAGTGATTTTCGCAGGACTTTAGTTCGTATTTGGGTCACTAGGACTGGAGCTATGCAAATGTTATGCGAGACTGCATCTATTTCATGCCTGTCGGAAATCCAACATAAATAGATCAACTAAAAATGTAATTTTTACAAACAGAAATTTCTTGTCACTCAGGTATTAGAATTGTATCACACTCTTAACAAATTACTTTGAAAAGAATATACTTAAAAGTCATTTTTGTAAACATTCTTGGTTCGGTATCTCTTTGGAGAGCTTTCTTGTAGTTTTATTTTATATTCAACATTTGGTTTTCTCTTCTAAATATTGAGTATTCGATTACTGTCAATTATTGTGTTATTCAATGTTGAGTTATACTTCTGATATACCCAGCTCAGAGAACACAATACAACCAGGGTCATAATCAAATAAATGAACAACATTTTGACACTAGATAATTTGAAATCTAAAATGCAGAAGCATTTAGTTACCAAATTTTCACGTAAATCAGCTTAGATCTCCACTTGTTTGTGAATTGATAAACCTTCTATTCTCCTGGCCGACCTAATGTTTCTATGAATGGATCTCCACCGTTGTTCATTTTTCATGCACACAATTGAGATGGTCAGAAATTATGATCGTTCTATCAAATGTTTTAAAAAAGCTGTCAAACCTTCTTCTAGGACCTAATTATATTAAAATTTTGTTTAGATTTTCTTCATTGGTACCATTTTGAAACTTCATCCAAGAAGTATGGGCTAATTAATACATAAGCTTTACCTTTAACAATATGAATTATTGTGCTTTTTATAATTATTGAAATAATGCATTCGTTTAATTTTCATCCAGCACGTAAGAACAAAACGCATCACAAATAATTAGCTATTCTTCAGAATTAAGAAACAAATAAGTAAAAAGCCTGGCTAAATAATATCATTATATTTTTTGAGAGATAATTAATTTGGACATCAAAATCCAACTCTTTTAAACCATAGATTCTTTTCTTCTTGTCACTTTGCTCTACAAAAATAAGAAATTTATTCCATATAACTCAATAAAAGGACAAATTCTGAAATAAAAGTTCAAACAGTTTAAAACATAAAATCTAACAAACATACACTCTGAGAATGCTTGATATCCGTTGACCAGGATTCTTAGCTCAAGTCTAAATAAAACATTGATGCAGATTTCAAATTCTCCAGGGGACTGCTGACTGCTAACCGGCAGTAATAATAAAATGTTACCTTTCGAGTCTAGACACCCTTGGTAATTTTCTCAATAAAATGTTGAACCATTGTGTGATTTTCAGTTGTTTTCTTATATGATAGACATATACTTAAACACTAAGACAACCAGTTTACTCAAGGTAGCTTAGTAAGATATGAAGCAGTTACTAGTCAAAAATGAAGATCGAACATTGAATATCTTCAGAAAGAGAAAGATGATCTCAGAACGTCGTTGTGACAAAAGTATGTTAATAACCACATATATTTGTATTAAGCACCAGTAATATAATACGTGAAGCAGAACAGGCTGTAGGTAAGAGAGACCTGACAACATTGTATCAAATAACCAGGTTACTCTCTGGGAGGAGATCAACGCAGACGAAACCAATAAAAGATGATGACGGAAATTTAATTACGAAAGAAGAGAAACAAAGGAAACAATGGGCCGACCACTTCAAGAAGCTCTTGAATCGATCACCACCACCACCTGCACTTCGTCCAGAAATACCACCTACAGCCGCTGAACTACAAGTGAACATAAATCCTCCAACGAAAATGGAAGTCCTGAAGGCCGTAAAGCTACTGAAATGTGGGAAAGCAGCAGGACCAGATAGGATCCCGCCAGAAGCACTGAGAGCAGACGCAGAGATAACAGCGGACATGCGATGAGTTGGACGTCCGAGGGTGACATGGAGGAGATCGTGTGAGGAGGAAATGAGAGCTTTTGGGCTGTCGTGGAGCCAGGTTCAAAAGATTTCGGAGAACAGAGTTCACTGGAGACGTGCTACTGAAGCCCTATGTTCCATTAGGAGCCCAAGCGACTAATAATAATATATTACGTGCTAGTACCTGTTAAACCTATTTCTATGGGAAATTCATTCAAAATTAGAATTTCTTATTTTTCACATGACCATTTAGTTTCTATTATTTTTTTTGTAAATAAATATCACAATACTTCAGCACACTTTCAAATTTTCAATGAGAAGCAGATAAGCCCCACTTTTTTCTGCTAATAAAAATGATTAACCTGTAAATGGAAAATATATCATGAGAGTTACGTGTATCAACTCATTACTAATGACTGCTTTTAGTTTTCAAAATAGCTGAATTTTTTCAATGACGATTTTATACTGTCTTTTAGAAATTAAGAATGTGACTGAATTCTATACTTGACCTCCTTTTTAAGCTACATTAAAGACGGCACCTATGTTTATGTCAAAGTGTTAAACTAAAATGGCTGAGCATGAAACAAATCAAAACTACGTGAACACCTATAAAATAAACTGTGGATATTTAAAATCAAACAAATCTGACAGGTTTTAATTCTGTTAACAATAAAACATCATGAAGTTTAAACTTTTGTAGAGGGGAAATAAAATGAGATCATATATTTAGCAATGGTTTGCGAAAAATAAATTGACACAAAACTATCTATTCAAAAAGGTAATTACTCTCGGCATTGGACAATAATAAACAAGTAGATTGAAGGTAGTGTACAGCTTAAATGGTGATCACTGACAAAGGATAAAGATGACCTCACAAAGTAAATACTAACACTTTTGGAAAACTATAAAATTATATCCCTTACTGTCCGTCGCTAAGCTAATATCCAGCTGTTATCATCAGAAAAGCCTAACATTAATTCAGCACATTTAATTTGAAAACAATAATCTGAACTGGTAGGATGACAAATTGAGGAGTAAATTTGACACCTACAAGATGTTCATTTAACAGAATGTGAAATAGTATCACCTTAAATAAGTCTATTCAGTATAATATAGGGTGAAGCTGGGTTGTTCACCCTCTATATTTCATATCCGACAAACTCATCTACTATGGAATTATGTTTTACTTCAGTGCTTAAATTCTTCCAAGTAAAATACAATGAATACTGAGAGCTTTTTTCAGTTAGTTGATTGCGCTAACTTCTGCGACAGTATTACTGGATGACTGTGGTCATGATGCTTGAAACGGATGGATCCGGTCAACTGATTCTGTCCAGCCGTAGTTATTGGATTGAAAAATAAACTCACAAACAATTACAGTGAAGCATCAGTGACTTGAGACTATTTCACAATGTTTTATTAGTTTTAACAGAATAAAACTCCTGGAAAGTTACTGACTAGCCAATGAGTGATGGATAAAAGTTACCCATAGGATGGTTGCCACAACAGTATTTTAATTTGATGTCTGCCGTAATCGAATAACGTCACATGTCGTGGATCTATAATCGCGTTAACGGTAATGTAGTATACAAAATTTATGATTACTTCTTGGTTTTGGAATTTCAGTGACCATTTGTTTTCACTTCATGAAGGCTAGAAAATTGAATACACGCTTAAGTTTTCAGTAAATAGTGAACGTTTATTCATGTCTGTACTAACGATCTGCATGTTATGAAGTGTATAGCGACAAAAAAGGTCGGAATTAGACTTTACTATGATGTTCATAAACCCATCTCCTTTATTTATCCGCAGAGAAATATACAAGTCAGTGCAAATCCCAGTTAAAAATAACTGGTAAAGGTAAGTAGACTGCAACATCCTAGTACACTTTTAAATCAAGTTTACCCTTGAAGTACCAATGAATTTCTCAGCTGCTAATTTTCACGTTATGATGGTTTTAACCCCCTCTGCATTTTGCAGTTAAGTCATCAGCAAAATGATTTTAACATTTCATTACTTTTACAACCTTTAAAATGTACTACAGGATGTATCACGGTGGCATCCCACAGTATTTCGTACTGTTGTATTTAAGTGTGTATTTATAAACCGGAAAATGAAACAAGAACATCATATTAATTTCATGGAAATTGCTCATCTCATGCAATACCGTAACCAACCTTATTCATCAAAATCATCCCACATGTTAGCCACATGAAATTTCTTTTGCATTGGCAAGTATCTGAAACATAAGTTTAATGCTTGAACTAATCATAAAAAGATTTTTCAATCATGAAAATTTAAACTTCTAAGAGTAAAATGCTTTACCTCAGTAGTAAATGTCATTTATGATACTTTTTATACGGTATAACTATTCATTTTACCGCAGTTAATATCCTTAATCGGTATTCAGCCAAATATCACTTTAGTGATTTTGTAATTTCAAACAGCTGATTATTACTTTCAAATACATATTGAAGTTTCTAATATTCTGTGTGAAGCTGAGTCACTTCAGTGGTCATACTAGTCAAAATTTATGTGTAACAGTCTACTTAGTGATTACCTGAGACATGCAAATTAATTAGTCATTCAATAATGAGGTTGTTAACGGGACTTAAAATCATACTTCTCCCCAAGAGAATAAAACCAGATGAAGCACAAAATAACCACAGTTTTATAGCCTTCACAGAACACATCTAACACTTCAGCATTTCCTCACCTATGCCAGTTCACAGATAACATGCTGCACGAAAACATACGAGTTCATGAACATGTAATCAAATTTTGTCTTCAAAAATTTCGGAAGATAACGAAGCGATCCCATGTAGTTTATGATTTTTAAGGGCTAGATAAATGTCCAACTCCTAACCTGGTCACAGAAGTGAAATGAACACTCAGCAGTCTATGCAAATACGAGATCATATAAAAAAAATAAATCGGTGCATTTATTAGTTGGGCTTGATGAAGTTTCATTTGTTTCAGGATAAAAACATCATCCCAAGCAATGTATGGCTTTTATATTACCGCGATAAACTTTAAATTCGAAATTCATCCAACAAGCCTACTCATTTTCATTTTATGTCAAAATTCTTATTTTACAATGTCTCTAAGACATGCTCACACTGTTGTTACAGGAAGTCCAGAAGGAAGGCAAGGTACCTGTCGATTGGAAGAAGGGCTATCTTGTCAAATCCCCGAAGAAGGGCGACCTGGGTCATTGCAAGAACTGGCTCGGAATCACTCTCCCGTACACCTCAAGCAAAATATTAAGCTGCTCCATCCTAGAGAGACTAAAGGATGCACTGGATTCAAAACTACAAGCGGAACAGGCTGGATTCAGGAAGTACAAATAATGTGCGGACAGAATTGCAACGCTACACTACGCATCATCAGATAACAGAGCATAGAATGGCAGTCAACCATCTACTTCAACTTCACTGACTTTGAGAAGGCCTTTGACAGCGTCGACCGACAGGTAATTTGCAGGCAGCTGCTTCAACACTACGGAGTACCACAAACCTTTATCAGCTTCATTCAACAACTATATGAAGATGCCACATGTCAAGTAATTCACAATGGAAAGCTCAGTGACGCCTCTGAAGTGAAGACAGGAGTAAAGCAAGGCTGCTTACTATCACCCGTGATATTCCTGATTGTAGTGGACTGGATCAGGCAACAAACAGTGAGGAGGGAGAAGAGGGGGATACGCTGGCTGGACCGAGGAAAAGAACCTAGAAGATTTAGATTTCGCCGATGGTCATTATGTCTAATGTCACACGAACTTGCAGATCTACAGGCGAAAACCAACAAGTTGACAGAAGAGGTGAGGCAGGGCATCGAAGACGGGACTTCAAGTGAATATGGATAAGACAGAGTCGATGAAGATACACAGCCAACACTACCACAAACAACAACAAAATCAAGCTCCAATCATCATCAACGAGAGAAACTTAAAGGAAGTAGACCCCTTCACCTATCTAGGCAGCACTGTTTCAACTACATACAGGCGGCGGTGGCACAGACGAGGACGTCAAAGCCAGCCAGGATTGGGAAAGCAAGACAAGTGTTCAATAACCTGAAACCAGTGTGGAGATCTTCTGCACTCAGAATAAAGCGTGAACAACATCCGCATTTTCAATACCAGCGTCAAGTCAGTGCTTCTGTATGGCTCAGAGACTTGGTGCGTTACGAAAGGGATTTCCAACAATCTACAGACATTCATGAACAATTGCCTATACTGGCTCACTACTGAAGCTCAGATGGCCAGAGTAGTAAGAATAAGCAAGAAGGAACTCTGCCCTGTCAGAGAACTAACCAAGAACCTACCGCTGAACAAATATGCAGTGGAAGGGAGTGGAGATTGATTGGGCATACACTGAGAAGGCCGACTGGGGACATCATGCACCAGGTCAGGCCCTTGAGTGGGACTAGGATGGAAATCAACGAGTTGGGTGTCCCAGCCAATGGTGATGTGAAGGAGATCATGCGAGGAGGAAATGAGAGCTTGTGGGCTGTTGTGGAGCCAGTTTGCAAAGATTGTAGGGAACAGAGTAGAATGAAGACGTGCTACTGAAGCCCTATGTTCTACTAGGAACTCAAGGGACAAATAATATAATAATAATAATGCAGTGTCTCGAAAGGAATGCGCATTGCTTCACAATAAGACATTTGTATTTATGATGACACTGAAGCAGTTCACATTTGGCTACTAGTATTAGTATATTCAACATGAAATGCCTACTTTTAGGGCTTTCTTTCAACTAAAAGTCGCTTTTTTGATTCCAGTCATATGGCAGATAAAAATATCAGGCTGATTATTTTTTCAAAAGAATTAACAGTAGAAGCACAACGTGTAAAACAATAGCTATTTTCCACTAACCGGGGTTTTTTTTACGCCAATCTTACACCCAGTAAACTTGTACGGCTTTTAAATTTTATTACTAGAAGTGAGATATAACTGGGCCATTTTGATGGAATAAGTAGTATCACTGATAAAAGAAAAAGTCAGTAATGAACTGCTACTGTTCTTCGTAGGTAAATAAGTTGGAAATTCATCTTTCTGCCTAGCTGAACCTAACTGCTTTGCTGAATATTTAGGCGGAAGATTATATCAAGAAGATTTGGTTGTTTTAACAGCTCTGTTTCTTCAGAACTAATAACAGAAGGTGAGTGACTGTCAAAAAGCTTAAATGTTGTGCACTTATATTTTACAAGGACGCATGCAAAAAAGATTCACTAAAAAATCATATATATGTATGCATGCATATATATATATACATATGTACCTAATAAACTATCTAGGTAATATCGATGCTGTAGACACATTTTATCGGACATAATTTAGAGAATATTCTCAGTAATAGTTAAAACAATATGGTAGACTCAAAAACGAAACTATTTTACTTAGGTTGACATAAGCATGATTTATTTACGTGGCTTATCTTCGCTATAAATCTACAAACACATTACGAAGAAAAGATAAGTAACTCTCTCGTCTTTCAGCTACTAATTACCAACCTACAGGCTATTCATGTGCATATTTATCTGTAGAGAATATACTATGAAACTGCCTTCCCATATGACTAACTACCTGGAGTGCATTAGAAGGAAACTTTACTGATTTTATGAAATTTTCGACAGCACAGCTTCACAATTTTTCATATTACTGTTTTACATGACACCAGGTAAATCTATATAACCGGTATTTTGTATAATTATAACTTCTCATTGCTTGTTGAACAAAATTCCGTTAGTTACTCACACTGTTTAGATATAAAATGTGTTGATACTAAGAAGTCATATTAATTGTTCAATGCATCATACTAGAAGTTACGTAACACATTCGGTTTCATAGGAGTAAAAACTACATTAATTAGATGGCCTAATACCTTTAAAAAAAGTGACCAGTATAATAAAACTGGAACCCTACTGCAATTAAATATTACCATGTTTCATAAAGACCAAAATTCAAGATTTTCATGCCAATCAGTTTTCATGATCAAGTGTAGAACTTTACAATCTGAACGCAAATCATCTTAAAGGGTGGACGAGTAACTACCTCATACTGAAAAAAACATTATTGGAAAGCCTAAAAGGTGTAGCAATCGACTGATAAATTATCGTAGTAATGTTGTAAGTTTGTCTGTCGGAACAAATCAAGTATAGCTAGCGTTGAAACATGACTAAAATATCTATGCACAGTAAGTAGTTATAGACCATATTTAATCAAATTAGGCACAACTTAATGATTGTATCCGATTGCGTTTCTATACTTAAAGATGCACATATGCAAAAACCAAAAGGTGAAAATTCTTGTTTGGTTTTAAGTTTTCATAACAAGCATTCCGAAATAAGTGGTTTTGAGAAGTGAGTGAAAGTACTGTCTACGTATTTTCAGCAACATTCTTCTGCAAAAACTCGGTAGCAATATTTCAAAAAATGACAGCAAACATAATACAGAAATTAGTTAGGAAAAACCAAACTCTAACACTAAATTTCAATTTACCTGAATTTATATCATGCAAATATAAAGGAATTGAAACGTTGTTCTACTGAGAAGCTTTTAAGAAGGGAAACAATTTTTCTGACATACACGTTATGCAGTGAGATAAGAGAAAATCTTCAGTCGAATAACCAGTTTCGAATATAGTCGTAGTTTTTGCAATATGGCATATTCTGAATGTATGTTAAAATGTCTACCTTTCAGTGGCCATGAAAAGCAATGAGTAAATGTTATTGAAAGTGATCATCTGAGAAGAATTCACAAATTCTCGTAGATGGCGAAACTGTCTTCAAATGTCACTATCCTCTTGTCTCAGTGGGTGAATAGATAGATAAGTTGTGATCAAATAATATGTGAACTACGTGATTCCTAAAATCGGCTCTCTAGAACAATGGGGAAGATAGATCTCACAGAATGTATATATTTGTCATGCACTTTCAGAAGGAATAAAATAAAATATCCTTAATATAGGTGTAAAACTTGGGCACTGTGGTAGAATTTAATTCCATATTAAATTTTTTGTAAATCAAATCAACAAATCTAATATGGAATAAAATATTCTTATTTCTATCACAACCACTTACAAATTCAAATGCATCATATCCTGTGAATTTGTAAATAAACTTTGTTTCAAACCTATTGATGACTTAATGGAATGCAGTTTATCAGGATATTAGATTTTTGTACATAAATGAAATGAAAAACTAAGTGTAGGAAATATTCAACCATATGCCCACCTTTGTCCGTCACTGAGATAACCATAGACGTTTACAAAAGGAATTTCACGATTCACTTGTCTATGTGACCTAAAATGAATGAAATTAAGCAGTGTAAGTTACCATTTTAAAATTATGACGAATGAGAACTAAAATTCTGAGCATTTTCTTAAAGATGCCTATCCTTCTGAAAAAAACCTTACAGTACGAGAGTTTGGTTTGTATAGTTCTCTCTACATTTCAACTTTCAAATATGAAATCTTCCACTTTAAAATGTTTTCCTTCTTGAAACCTATAAGTAACGTTTCTTTTCTCAAACGTTGTACCTTTGTGTTACATGCAAGGTAAAACCTTTGAATATCAGTCAAAACAGTCAATATAATTGATAAATATTTCTCAGTAGACCGTTTAATGTATTCGGATTCATACCGCTCAGTCCAGATTGTTTTAACATATGTAATAACTTTCTCATATCCCACTTAATGAGGTTTCTTAGTAAACTAGTCAAGCACATATTTTTGTAATTTTGCTGTGTTTTTGAGTAATGATTATTTCTACACAATAAACATCCAAGAGAGCATAAATGAGGCTGTCTTACCTCCAAACTTTCCGCTTGTTCTGGCTACTTTATTATTCCTAGTTGTTCAATTCAAGACTTACCTTCCAGTTTACAGGCCTCACTAACTTGACTGGTTGGACGTTACAAGTAAGAGGTCAAATAAACCCTCAAAGTCGAAAAAGGTTCATGTCATATTTCATATTATATTCATTAGGTTTTACCTCTCAGGACAGAAATCTTAGGCATACAATCTTGGACATTACTTTGACTAGTTGTGTGTCCTAAGAAGACAATCAAATGAATCGCAAAGTATTTTTCGTATCATTTTTATCGAATTCAATAAACTATCTCACTAACATAAAGTCGAACACTCAATTTACTATGAAAACAATTTAAGTCAAGATAATAATAACATGTCTTACCCAATATTCGTCATATTTTTAGACGCTAGAAGTATTACAGTGCGGTAAACATCACGAATTAAAGTTATTTGGGTGTACACCCTTATGAAGTGAGTCAACTCTCACAAGCCCCTAAATAAAAGTAATGCTGCAGTATATTTAATTTATTTACCAGGCTACACAGCCATATTACTTGACTGATCTTATCAAATTGAAAACAGTTAATCTTGATGTAAAACATAAACGGATCTTTCAAGTGAAAGAAAATCATTTTGTAAATAAAAATAACTCTTTTGATTTCTGTAATCGTCACACCCTTGAGATAGAGACAGAGTTAGCAGACAAAAAGATGAATATTGCTTTTTTTTCTCAACATTTTGTGAAGCATTTTCCTCTTTGCCTCAAATGAAATGAGAAAGGATATTATGAGTATTTGTCTATGATGGATACTTTTCAACTTCTCATTTAACCTAAAGCATTATTGAATAGCTGTCTTGGTCAATCTGTCCGTTATTCAAGTACTTTTGATTGTTTCAATTTTGTGGATTTAGAGGTAGAAAACATTTTGTTTTCTTATCATTTTACCTTTTTCAATTCCTAGAATTTTCAGTAATTATAAATTTAAGCTGCCTAATTTATTCGATTTGCGTGAAAAAAAATGCAATTTTAGGATTTGACTTCTATTGTCTATTTGTTTATTTACCGAAATGTTTGACTATTATAGATTCATAGACGATATGAACAAAGAATATGTTTTCTATTTTTAGATGAACACTCTTCTGAAGTTGAATTTTAGCAAAGATTAACAAAGCTTAGTTGATATGGCATACGGTGATAGTTTGTCTGCCAACTGACATTTGGAAAGTTATTTGTTGTTCACACTTACAGGAATCGAATCACAGAACTGTTCGTATGCCTTTCTTCATAATCAATTTTTCCCTATTGTTTTACTTCTGGGGATAACAGGCTATTATTATTATTATTATTATTATTGTTATTATTATTATTATTATTATGTTAGTCTCAAGTAACGAATAAGTCATTTCCGATTCATGTGTTCAGCTTTAATCCAATGAACGAGGATTAATCAATCCATAATTCCTTGCACATAGCTACATTGAATTTATGACTATCACTATGTTCCACCCTATGGTTTGATGGAGTCAGTACATGTAGACTAGGAGTTCACTAGCTTCCTCGGACCACTTATCCTTGTGTGGTTCAATATTCAGTATTTCGTAGGATTTTTATGCTTTGATATCCTGATTAAATCGTGACCAATTGTTTCAACCTGCGTACTTGATCTTCTAGTCATTTTCTGATGTTTGATAATTTTATCTGCAGCATGTATTAGTAGAAAATGCTATTGAGTTGTCACGGAAGAAATGCATACACCTAATTCAAACAGCAAAGATACTTTTAGAAGTGATCGAGGACTCCTCATCATCATAGTGATGAGATACTTTTTTACATCTCCCCCTCTAGTGAGCACAAATATTTGAGAGTGACTCTAAAGGCCACCTTACCAACGGCTGAGATAATCAGTTATTTTTCTAGCTTCCACAAGACACTGAATTCCCAGCCGAAGTTCAGAAACCTGATTGACTTTTTCATCAGTTGCTAGCGTGGCCCCCTGAAGTCACTCTCATTTGAAGTGAAACAAGTTGGTTTAAGCAAACGTATTCATTATTCACACATTAAAAATATCAGCACATCATACTGAAAAATATACATAATTTCTGAAGATTTGCCGAAAATAGTGTACTGAAAGTCGATCTATCGACCTGGCATTCATTAGTCTCTTTCATCAAACAGAACGCTCACTTTGAGGTTATCAAAGACCACAGGCAGTAAGTATCTCAATGTGTGCATGATTTGTGAAAACACAAGAATCGTACTAAAATAAACTAACGTCAAATATCACCGCTTATTTGAAAATACTAAGCTACTTTCATACACTTAAAGGTTTTCAGATAAAGATTTACAGCAGTTCTCACTCTTAAAACCCTACGAAACCATTAACGTCTTTACTGAATATATTCGCAACAATTTGATGACACAAAAGCTCGTCATTTTATGCATATGAAAATTTGAGAAACGTCAATTAAGTCAACATAAAATAAAGGAATAAAAAGGAAAATAAGCATACAAAAAATATAGAAGTCTGAACTAAATCAACTTTGATGTGAAAATTAAAACCGACGCCAAACTGTAGAAATGTTTTTTAATTTACTCTCGGCTCTGTTTGGGTAACATCTAGACACTTTATCCAGAATGCTCTTACAGAATGTGTCAAAAGATGTTTAAATCCTAAATACAGTATCTGGGATGTGCATGGCGACAAGTGAAGATGGTTCTGTATCACTTGCTTATATCGAGTCACTTTAAATCATATACTTTTAAAGCTCCTTCATTACGCATTCTGTCAAACTCAAATGTATTTGAGTATTACTCCTCTGCCTGTAAACGTCTGGATACATGCGTGCAGACCGATGAGCGGAGTGGTATATACAGCTATCATTGGTCTTTAGTTCTTTGGATTGGAGTATGAATTTCCCTTTACCTACAGGGTAACTGTTGATCTGGGCCTTCTTTACAATGAATAGATTTTTACCACTCATAGATGTTAATAAAGTAAAACTACATTTGAAGTGAGTAATAATCAGTAGTTCTTGATTCTATGGACCATTTCCATCTGCTGATATATCCTAATGAGTATCCATTACACCAGTCGGTTTCGACCAAAGGCCTGAATTCACCTTTCTCTATGTCATCTGCGCAGATGCCGCCTAACTTTTTTGAGAGGTATGCGACTGAACTGTATTTATATTGGATTGAAAACAGAATTTGAAAGCAATAATAATCTTCTACCTCTTTCCGCTTCTTATAAAAATACAGAAGTGATAGTACTACTCAAGGTTGCCTTTCTATCTGATAACTAATTATCTAGGCCCAACAATGTGAGTATTCTGAATGTTGTCGTCTAACTTTTTGCTATAAAAAGAATGTCAACCTTACTCCACAAAAACTAATAAAATACTAAAGTCTATACATCCTACAAATTCACTGCATTATGTTTCTGGTCATCAGCTTTTGTGCTGTCCTGCCTAATCAATTCAAAAAGAAATTATACTTTACTTTTGTTTCAAAAGGGTATGTCACTGTCAAACAGCATTTGTATATTGACATAAGTTGACTTTATATAATGTGAAAAAGATGACTGTTTGTTAATGAAACGTTTGTGCATTTCATGGAATTTAAACATCATCAAGAATATTGCTACCAATTTGTTCTTCATGAAGAAACGTGCTAAATGTTAACTGATATTCACATTGAAGCGACGGCGATGAGCACCATTTTGTTTTATAACAGTCTAAGGAGAGCACTGGGAGGTAATACGAAACCTACTATGAGGAGATCTTCAGCTTCAACATTTTGTTGCTTCAAGGTGATTGCTTCTTTAATCCAGAAATATCAGTGATGTTTGATACTTCATTTATAGTTTTCAGTGATACTGTATTTTTTAATGAGTAGTGTTTTGGATATAATTTTTGTCCCACTTTCAAAATAAAATGATCAAACAGCTGTCTGACCTTGCTATTATAATTCTAAAGAGCTTCATTCAGTTTCCGTTGGTAATAGTACTCTCCAAATATTCAGGATGTCCTTAGAATCATTCCTTATAAATGTTACAGGTGTTGACAAGTCTACCCAACAAATGCAAATGACAAAAATGAATTCCAGTTGGAATAAAATCTGTGTGATGTATGCACTGGCCAATAATCATATAATAAACCTAATAAAGCCTAACGGTGATGAAAATCAGTTTTCGTCAACAGAGAGCAAAGTTGATTAATAACTGGATTTCTTCTCCGTTAGTGAACACGAAACATAAGATAGGAAAGAATCTCCAGCAATCTTCACTATTAGGGATGTTGGCTTACCAGTAAGAACTGAATTCAGCACCCTAGTGTGTTCATAGTGACTCAGGATATTAATCGCTTACTAAACACAATAAGTTTGTGAGAAATAGTACGTGATGTATATCAACCATAAGAAGTGTTTTTGCAGTGAAGAATAATTTCTGAGAGCATTTCATGGTAAAAAGAAATAGCTAAGCAGCAATGTGAAATAGAAAAGGGGAACATTTATTGATAATATTGAACAAGATTTTACTAACACTGCAAGGTTTTCTATTTACTAAAAAATCACAATCACACCCATTAAATTCTTTGTGTCTCATTCGTGCCTTTTAAGAGTGTTATGTGCACACCGAAAATTTGAAGTATAATACCAATAATTTTTCTTGTAGGTATTAGGAACAGGTTTGTGAATATTTGTATACTTTTAGTTGCATGTTAAGATTAAATGTGCTGAAGTTCTGATTTCCATCGAAAGTTATTTTTGTTATTTTCAGAAGTCGTAGTTGATCCGCAAATAAGACTTAAACGGACATTTAACACTAGTAAACTCCGTAAGAGGAGAAGTTCCGATACCTAAAAAGAATTAACTAACCAACCATCTCACTCTTTTTTGCGAACTGACCTGATACACTTGTATCGGTAGTGTGGAATGTGATGTTTAAAAGCAGGTTAAAGGCTTGACAAGCTCTGGTTTCAAATGCCGCATATTCTAATGTATTTATTGCTTACAAGAACAGAAAATCATACTTTTTTCTTCTCGTATGTATTTATTAAGCTGTATGTCACCTTCATCACCAATACACTGAATATTTCATTGTGTGTCAACTTAAGAATCTTATTGTTTTACGATCTCATTTGAGGTTTAGTTTCCATTCATGTTTAGAATGGGTCAAGTGCTGTTATGAGTAGATAAATAGACAATCGAGACACTTATAGATGTTTGGTATTCACATGGTTTTTCTACATCTGTTCGGATAAGTATACCAAGGAACTATACATCATATACGTTTAGCGTATAGGTGATGTTTTTAGTTTTTAGCTCCTTATTGTAGTCATGTTACATTGCAGAAATGTCGTTGTTGTTATTTAATACAGTCTCAACATACTTGGGTTGCTTCAATTCTCCCTATATTTTAGTTGGTCCATGGAACCAGTATTCATAGATTTACACCTTTTAATGTTTCGTGGTACAACTGGACAAGTCTGTTCACCTTACTTGTTTGAAACTGTTTTGGACACTAAACGTGACTTTGAAATGTAACAAAATTAAAACACTATTAACCACAAAGTTTAATTATAATGAAGGCGTTATTAAAACACATGAAATCAGAGTGCATTTGTTTACCTCACCTCCTTTCAAAAAAAGAGAACAATGATCCATTCAGACTGACTGACATTGATTTTTAAACCCTCTTATGCGAAGCAGTTGCGACCATTAAACAAAATAAGTGGAAGTAAGTTATGTTATGGTTGACTAAAGCTGATTGCGGTTCATCCAGTCATTGACGCTCAGTTATAAATGACCGCTTACTTCGAAATCATCTCTGATGATACCCCTAGTCATGGCCTATGTTTTTGGAAGGAATTAGCTCATAGTTTTGATGGTGATACAATCAGAAGTTTTGTCGTATCAGCCTGATAGCTTCCTATGTTCGACCACGGATAAATCTAGCATTTATACTCCAATAACACTGAAAGACAGTTATATATATATATATATATTTGCACAACTGTTATTTGGTTTTACCACTGTCACCAAAATGAATTTCTCTGTTGGAAGATTGTTAAAGGTATCATAACTATCGATGATCTCAATCATACCACTGGATGCTTATATTGACAGGTATACATTTATTTGTAATGTAATACATGTAAAGCAAAGGGAACTGCATTAAACTGATGAAAAGTGCCTAATAAATATGTGTTTTGAGCTAAGTTAATTGAAATGTTGAAAGGCAGAACCATATCAGTTTCATGGAAACTGTTTTTTCACACAAAAATGAAGATTGCCTTTTACATGTTCTAACCTTCAGAGTATACAAAATTTGTAAGTAATTTTGAGTCAGTATATGTAACAGTCTCATGGTTCATAAGTACATGCAGTGCAAGAAACTTGATATAAATTGCTAAATAGTTTAGAGTTTAGTATTATAAAGAGGTGCCACAAGTAATACGAATGTGAAAAGTATGTTTATATGTGAAAAATACAATCATCACCAGGTTCACGATACCACTGAAGTATTCATGGGGTGCTTACGCTGTTAAAGCTTACATATTTTGCAGGAACTTATACTTCCAAACATATGAAATACTTAAATGACCGAGGCAATAACCTATGGGACAGCAAAATAAGTCAATAAACATCATGTACTCTTTGACAGAAATTACCCAGTGTTTCTTATAATCCTGAAGACAATAAATTTACTATTCAGCTGAGACATGTCATCTCATTTTAATAACAAAATCGCCTGTAATTCACGTTTGACACTTTCTGCTTAAGTGATGGCACTCAAGTTCTTGGTTCATCAACTAAATAACTGACTGACGACTTGAATATAGCGTTTCATCAACTAAAAGGCTAGTTTTGTCCATCTGAATTCAAATAGTGAGGATATGATTCTTTTTCATCCTAACAAACCCTCTTTTGTAGATTTGATGATCGAGGAAAGTAGGACATAAATAGGGCACAAGGAACTTCTAGACTGTTTATTCATTCAACCTTGTAAGGCAAGGTTATTGCAAAATAGACTTTTATTCGGAAACGAAATGAATGGGTGTAACTAGGTCCGATATTTCACGAAACACAATTATTACTAAACAATGGAATATTTAGAAATGATTGAAAAGTATAAATTGCATAATGTTTTCATCTATTGTATGACCAATTAGGGGAAAAAGCCTTTATTAGATGAATATATTCAGGTATTATTAAGTAGTAGGAAATAAAATACAAAGGCCTACCGTTACCTAACTGTGATGGAGAATTTTCGAAGTTAACATTTGTTGAATGCACTGAAATTAGTTAGATAGAAAATGGTTTTTCACCTGATGACGAAACTAGTGTTTCCGTACAGGTACCATTTGTGTGTTCATACCATGACTATATCGTCAATGTTACGAGCAGATTCAGGTCAAATATTTCCATAAATTATTACTGGATGCATTTTCGTTGCCCACTTAAACGTCTAACTATGTTATGCAAAATATACTAATTGTTAAACACTTATTCTTATCTAGAGTTTAACTGATAACTGATGAGGCTGAAATCATAGTGACTATACATACCGATGGGATGAAAGGCATAGAAACTAAAAATCGCTTCTTGTCGTGGTTGTACAGTTAGTGGTTTAAATTTACTGAGAGAAAAAAGTTGTTGTCTAGTCTGATTCCAGAAGATTTTTGACAGCTTTTAGACAATTTGGATAACACATAGCTATAATGAATATCAACTATGTTTTCTAGTTGGAAACAGAAGCCAAATCTTTGGTAGCTTACCTTGGAACGGCTTTGCTTTGGGTGCAGTACATGAAACTCACAAATACCAAGAATATTATTGACATGCAAAGTTTCATTTTTCTTTTCCTAGTAAATAAAATAAAGAATATAGGACAGTTAAAAAAATTATTGTAAAGTTAATTCAGTTCACACTCCTGGGTTGCATTATAGGCTCCGCTAATACCGATTAAAAAGTAATTACTCCAAGTGAACTGTTTTGCGGAAAAAAGGTATGTTCTGTGGGTGTTAGATTTATGTAAAACAGTATGTTATTGACCAGATGAATCTCTACAGCTGGAAAGTACAGCACTATTCTATAAAAAATATGTAATAATATTATTAGGGAAGAGTTCTACATCATTATTTTCAACAAAACTGATGATGGCAAACTATAAAACCAAAGTATTGTTATCTAAACAAGCGCTTGAAATCATATGTTGCAAAATTGTTTTCATTAAAGTAACTTCTAGTAGTGAAACTGTACCAACGACTAACCATCATGGTTACTGATAGGAATCTCCTTGACTAAAATGAAGTCAAGGAGGTAATACCAGTTACTTTAACTCTTCTATCAGAAGAGGCTACCATCATGCTCGTAGAGCATAGTGCTTGGTGTCTGAAACCACTTCCCCTTGCTTGAATTCCTGAGTATTGGAACCAGTGAGAGAACTTACGAGTTTTCTACTGCTATGTAAGGTAACTCATTTTAAAATGCTAACTCGTTGTATAATTTAAGGAAGTTAGAGTTCCAATGTCAGAAGACCGTAAAATCAGTTAAAATTGTATATTTTACGGGTGAGAAGGGTACCAGCTCCAGTATACACCAAAGAACCACCTAACTTTAACTCAATTCAAAAGGCTTACGAACATTGGAAAAGTGGTAATATTTAGTGATGTTAACAAAAATTCATACCAAACTATTTAAACAATGGAAAACTCTCAACCACTGTTTTCAAAGTGGAGCACTGAACACATCAAAGAGTTATTCTTTTTTCTACCATATATTATGAAAATATTCTAGAGTAAAATATCACTTTCCTCAAATGGCTTGCATTCTTTGTGAATGAACAGCTTTTATTATTAGAATAACTAAAACATAGGCTTGAAACTAACAGTTAGATGTACATATGTCAGTGTTTAGTGCTTTCCCACATATGCGACATATACCCTGACCATACAGATGTGTACACTATTAAAAGTTAGCTCAAGAAATTTAGACCAAACCACTTTCAAGCAGAAACTTACAAGCTTATGCTAGGAAAAAATGTAAGTATGAAAACCTATCTCAAAACCTAACATTTCAGTGGCTTTTATTTCTTTACGTATGCTGATCAGTTTGCTTTTTACAGACGAAACGCTTCTAATCAAACAAAAGAGCTTAAATATGGAAAAGAAGGCAGTAAATTCACTATTCCAGTATTTTTTCGTACACTGGTGCAAATATATGAGACAAAAATAACTAACATCAGGCTAATATAATGAAACTGTTTTCATCCAAATAGGCTGAATGCTTTCTTAGCACATTCATTTGCTTCATCCTTAGACTACTTGTTCATTCTATTCATTCTGCTACCCAAAATGTTTTAGTTAGAAAGCCATAATTCCTAAAATCTAGCTTTTGTCAAGAATTCATCATGTTAATTCTTTCCAAGTTTTATTGAAAATGCAATATTATGGTTTTAAATGAAGCATACAAATCAGAAATATCTAAATGTGAATATAAATCTGAGTCCATACTTCAGTTGACACTAGTCCCTCAAAAGCATAAATCATTGCCACTTTTACAACAACAAGGAAGAACCGAATGTGTACCAGAAATTTCTGTTAATTATTATGAGAAATGGCATCGTAAACAGGAACCACATATTAACAAGGCCTACAGAAAAGCATTGACCTCCAGGTAACAAAAAGTACTACCATCACTTTAATTAAAATGATGAGATGGACTGCAGCACATTTGTTTGAAAATATTAGTCCACGACGTTATTTGGTACCTGCAGATAAGACATAGAGAAGTGTCAGATACTGAAAAACATTAGCTTTATGTGAAACACATAACCTGTACAAAAAAAGAAACCTACAGTATACACTACTGTAGATGCATACTGACCTGTTATTGGATTCCTTATACTCCACAAATATCACTTGATAAAGCTATCAATTACAGAACTTTACTTTTATTCAACAAAGCAAAACCTTACACACTTAGGATAAGCGTTTTTATTAACAATTTTTATTCATATAAAATCTTTTTCTGCGAAACAAGTTAATATACACAAATCAAGATTTTTATTTTAATTAACTAAGTCACCCACACTAACAATTATGAAATAAACATAACTAAACACTTCATATACATTTATTTATATATGTTTATGCATCACCTTCATTTGTTTTGCTATATTTTAATTAAAAGCGACAGCTTTACATTGAAAAGACTAATTATTTACCGTTATGTACACTGTTCTCTATCAGTTTCATTCACATCAATTTGGCTAACTGCATTTAATGTAGGTGAATAACTCAGTGATCGACTACTAAAATGAATTTTAAAAATAATAAATGCTACATAAAAAAGAATTGTAGGAAAAAGCAAACCTACTTTTATAGTAATGAATCTTTCATGAAGTCAGAGTTTAAGAGGAAGTTGAGGCAAAACTATGAAAATACTGGCATAAAATCAGTTGCAGAAGTCTTAAAATATATTAAGCCGAATGGTATCTTCACACATAAATTGAGTCACATAGACAACCTGCTTTTCCAGATGATAAAACAAGACTGTAATATCTACCTAGAAATAACTTCACATCTAATTTTACAGGCGTAGACAAAATATTCTTTGAAGCAAAATATGTTTAAACTAATTTTAAATTGCTTCCTATCTCTTTCGCCTTAACAACATTATGAGATATCAGCTTCAAGCAGACTGTCTTTTTATATCTGCGCTTGCAAGCAAGTTAATATTTAGCTGAAATTGTAATTTTGGCAAACTTTTAAAAAAGTTAATCGAATAAAGTCATCATTATTTTCTAATCAATTGAAATATAATCTAAATAAAACATAAATATCGGTAAGTGGTATGGCGACAAAGCTAATGACTGTGCAGTGATGCTAAAAATGTGCCTTATAACCAGTCCAAGAAAAGTTGAATAACAAACTTGTAAAGAGGCAACCTAAAATATATGCAGTGAATCTGTTTTGTAAAATTTATGGTGTTATTTCTTACGGCCTTCACGTTTAGTCTTAAAGAAACAAAATAAGTACATTTATTGACAACTTTAAGGCCAAATCGCTCAACGTCTGTTGGCAGATAAGCTTCTACGCAGATGCCTCGATACTGTTTGAATATTCATTAAGTTAAAATCGACATGATGGTTAGTATTGGAAACGCGTTTCATCCTGCGTCTCTGTATCCCAGTGAGTGTTGTTGTTCCCACTGTGACTCGAATGCAGTGTTCATCGGTTCAACACCAAAGCGTTTATCCACTAGGAAGCTGCAGCACAGAAGGCCCAGTTTTCTAACACCTTTATTGAAAGCAAGACTGCACGTTGCTTTTAGGTACCGATTTGTTTATCATATAAAGCTACCAGACACCAAACCAAATTAATGCATCCTCCACTATTAAACAACAAAATTATTTTCACCCCTAATTCACCCTGACGCTACCTAATTTTTGTATATGTTTGACATACTAACTGCATAGGCTGCATACATCTTCATGCTTTTTAATTTTACCTAAAATCATATTTGCAAGTTAGTTTTCTTTTAAGAGCTCTACACACAAGTTAAACTCATGTGTATGAGATCTGATAATTTCTAATGTTTAAGTCACCAGTCACAATCTTTTAGGCTATCCATTGCGTACAGCTTTTCTTGTAATGAAGAGCAATTTTTATTCTTATTTAGAAATAAACCGGTTATTTGAAAGAAGAACTACTTGCGACTGCCAATCAATAAGTTGATTTGCAACATAATATGACATTGTCTCAGAGTGAATGTAAAACATTTCTTTTGGTCATGGTACGACATAGGGAAACAGTATCTACTAATTCTAATGATAAACTGCAGCCTTGAAAGATTTCTTATCTAGCTCTCTTTATCATATTTCATTTATTCAGAATGGTGTCTACGGCGCCAGCAAAAAAATATTATCCGCTAAAAAATTTACTCAGCAACGTATAAGAAACTATATTGTTTGGCCTAACTGCGTTTTACTGCTTAATTTCCTGATACCATTATGGTTATTGATGAAACATTCGAATAGTTTGACCACAATTTGAAAAAGTAATTCATTACTAAATATTGTCACCAGATAATAACTATTCTTATTCAGGTTAGTTATTTCATTAGGCAACGAACAAAATAACCTCTCCTAGGTAACTAGTTCATTAGTTACTAGTCGGTCCTAAGCCCAGAAAAACAGGGAAGGCTGGGCATAGGGCCACCAACCCTATCTCCATAAAAACGATCCAATCGCTAAACAAACTTCAAAACACAAAATAAAATATATTTAAAAAATTGAACTCATTCCTAGCTGGAATCCGAGAGACGATATGACGCCGCGTAGTGAAAGCCTTCGAGAAGCCAATTAGCCGATGTGTCTCTGCCTCGCTCGACGAGAGGGAAAGGAAGAATGGGGACACGGAATGTCCGAACAATGTTTGGAGCTGGCTAGCAAGGATGCCCACATTGCAAAAGAGATGAAAAGGTATAGCAAGGAAATGTTTGGAATCTGCGAAAGTAGATGGAATGGAAGTGAACTCTCCAAACTGTCAACTGGAGATTCAATAATCTACTCCGATATTGTCATCCAGACGACAACCACGAGCACACTGAGTTTCACAGTGGCTATCATGATGTCCTCCTCACAAGAACAGCCAAAGCTCTCTCTCATACAGTCGGAACCAATCTCATTCTCCACGATCAGGACCATGACAGCAAGATGGATTCAACTCAAAAGGAAGGAAAGTCACAATCATACAATGCTACTTTATGCTATGCACCTACAAATAATGCAGACGAATAGAAGAAGGAAGAATTCTACGTACAACTGCAATCAGTACTGGACAAGAGCCCACCCTAGTTG